TGTTGCTTTGACCTTTGAAAATCACCTGGCAGGTAAACGAAGACATGGATCGCTTTGGAAAAAAGGAAGGACGCATTTCCTAGCATTAATTGCGCCGCCAAACGGGGCACAACACATTGACCTGGCGAGGTTGATGGATATGGCATTTGCAGTTCGGACCTGATGAGTTTGCAAATAGTGCTAATGCATGCCAATGGCATATAATGGCATATAATGGCATGCTAATACGAGCGAATTGAAAGTGTTACCATTTTGGGTGGGCAAGGCCATCATTGGCCCAGCTTCGTGGGTGCAGGCCCTGCTCGGCTGTTTCAATTCTTTCTGAGCTCCGCGTGAGGTGCTCGGGCTCTCCGCAGTTTTTTTGGCTTTGTTGCACTGGCTCAGCTCTGAGAAAAGGGGGAGAACAGGTGTCTGAAATGATGTGACAAGCAATGAGACCTGAGCGCCTCTGAGATTATCTGAGATTAGGAGTCTTTGTTTTAAACACAACGTGCAATTTGTGAAGGACTTTCGAGTGAACCAGCGATCCAAGGACAAGCACAAAACAACGCCCAACCTATGCAACGCATCAAAGCTCTCTTCACTCCATGCACTATTTTGTTTAAACATGTTTAAACGCACCAAAACTCAAAGGGATGTGTCAAGATGTGTCAGCACGGGTCAGCACTTCGCTGCATGGCGGAACTATGTCAGCGCTTCGGCGACGCTGGCAGTGGGACGCTGTCATGACGTGACGCCATGGCCCAGCGCCGGCGCAGCGTGCGGAAGCCCATCGAAGCAGCGACAAACACGAGACACCAGTTTTCTGCAAGGGTCACACAGAAAATCACAGAAAGCAGAAGCATTCAGAGGCGATGTGTTGATGCGTTCAGAGATGTTGCATGTGAGACGTGACATCATGAACACATCGATTTTCATGGAAATTCATCGAAGTTGAACTCCTGTTACGAGTCCCTCGTGAAAGGCTTCGCCACGAGATCCAAAGACCGATGCAGGACCGAGACGAGAAACAGTTGGAGAAACTGGCGAACGAAAAATGGACACATTTGGATATACGCACAGTCACTAGATGACAATGACGGCAGAAGACAGTAGATGACAGTAGACAACCGTAGGTGAGAGTTGATGACACTGACAATCGAGGTATGCATACGGTATATCAATATTCACTGTCGTTGTGGGGGTATACATGGGTATACCGTTTTTGACATGGTTTTGCATGTCATCATTATTCGCATGGATCAGAGATGGTCAGAGTGTGACGCATGGCAGGGGAGGAGCCGCCCGCGCCGCAGCCAAAGTCGTCGCTCCGCACCGTGTTTCAAAGAAAATGCCCTGAGGATCTTTTGTGTGCACCTTTTGCGCATGTACACTAGCATTGATGCCCCAAAGTCACCCAAAGTCAGGTCAACTGAGCTGGAATGAATCGAATCTGAGTCAGAGCCACAGCAGAATTAAAAGTCAGTCAGAGTCCACATTCGAAAACCAACGCTGTGAAGATTTCGCAAACCTACACGAGCCGGACAGGAGTTGGCCCTGCGCAGGCGCGCCAGACGCCAACTTGAAGTGGTCAGGTCTGAGATGGTTGATATTGAGAAAATCAACAATGGTATTAATTCTTATTGACATCAATGATATTTCAATGGTTGGGTTGAATTTGCGCGTGTGTTTTCTTTTGTTTTTTCTATGTCTTTGTCTGTGGTCAGTTTAGATACTCTGAGCGCAGCAAAGAAAAACAGAGGTTAAGATATATCCAGATATGTTAAGATGTCAAGGCAAGTCTTTATCTTTGCTTTATCATTGTATCTTGTGCTTTATTTTGTCAGACTTGGCTCGGCTTCTCTGGTTTCGGCGACTAGGTCGATGCTTGCTGAGTTGGTTCGTCAAACCAGTGAATTGGAGGAACGAAGGCAAGCGGTTGAAGCAACACGTATGAATGTATGCCACTGAATGCCACTGTATGCCTTATGCATTTTGAATCCTTTGGAATATACCTTAATGTGCCTTAATATACCTTATTCATCTAGGACGGACACAACAGCAAGACATCAAGCCATGAAAACAGCTGCCACACATTGACATGACGCCATATGAATGGGACAGGGTGAAAGTTGAAATGCCTAGTACAAGTCAGTACTAAACATATGTCTGACATATGACAACTGATCACAAACACGTTGAAACACGTTGAAACACGTTGAAACACGTTGAAACACGTTGAAACACGTTGAAACACGTTGAAACACGTTGAAACATGGCACCGTATCGTTGAATTTTTGTGAACCCAGGCCATGGACGGGCCACTCCACCTCCCCATTTTTGGACGGACGAGGTGAACGTGTTGGAACACAACGTGATTGGCAAAAAAGTCAAGGCATAACCGGCATAACCCTGAAAAACGTTAAACGCGTTAAAGACGTCTGTCAAAGACGACGTCTGTCAAAGACGTCAAAGACGTCAAGGCATTGCTGATAGCATCGACGTCTCTGATCGTCTCTCGTCTTTGTGTATCGTCTCTTCAGGCTCACCGCAGTCTGCCCGAAGAACGGCAGACGGTCCGTCCCCTCCTCAACACGCCAAGACAAACTGAACCAGACAAGAAACGCAAAGATTTTTTTGAGCAAAAGACAATCAGATAGTAATCATACTAGACACTTCAGATATCTTCGGAAAACTTTTCTTTGCTTCTTTTTGATTTCGCATTTTGCCGTGCACCGAAGAGCTTTGTTTCTGACAGGCTGCGATTCTCGTCCCATTTTGAATGTGGGAACCTGCTCTCTGCAAAGCTCGTGGTCAACTCGTCCAAAGGCCGAATTGAGAGACTAGCATATGGCCCCGGCATATGTGCTACCCGTGCCACATGTGCATGCAAACATAAATTTGTACATTCAGTCACGATCTGAACGGTCTGAACATGTTCTTGACTTGTGAGTATACAATTTGTATGAAACCACGCCTGCCGTCTACATGTCTTTGTCTTGCCTGCCTTTTGAATCAAACCAACACATACCAACATCTAATTAGCGAAGATACTGCACGATGATCCAAGATGACACAAGCTGATGATCCAAGTGGCAACAGGGAACAGCACACCCAAAGCATCCCAAATCACATGTGAAGACGGCCCTGCAAGAGCCAACTCGTGCATCTCCAAGCTTGTACTGAAGAACTGAAGAACTGCGAAAGAAAGGCCACAGTCATTTCTATCAGCGTAACATGAAAATGTGATCCAAGGAAGTTTAGTTCGCAAACTTCCGAGTTATGGACGAATGTCCAGGGTGAGTCTTCTCATCATTTCAGCCACAAGGCAGCAACAGCAGATCGCAGGTGGGAACAGTAGGTGCGAGTAACAGTTCCGGGAGCGTGCGAGTTTGTGGGTGAAACCACTTTCGGGTGCGAAGTCGGTGTTTCTGCAGGTATGGTGGCTCCTGGTGTCGCGAAAGTAGGACCTGTGTTTCCGCGGTTCTAGGCCTCGATCTAGGAAAGTTGTCGACAAAAAGCGCATGAGACTGTAGCGAGAGCTCGATTTGCTGCCCTATAGACCAGGTAAGTCAGAAACGGGGAGAATCTCTATTTCATAGAAATAGATATATTTCTACGATTTAGTCAAAAAAAAATTAGACTTACGATCTGACTTTAAGGCAAAAAAAAATAACCTCAAAACATAAACTTAGTCTGATTTCAAATCTAGATATTTCGGCAGATTCTGCCGAAATAGTCAGATTGTGAATCTGACTATTTCCTAGGATTCTGACTTAGGCAGAAATGAAACTTCCACTAAACTGCCTTTGCGCATGTTGACAAACTGCCATCAAAGTGCCTCAGCGTTTTTCTACATGGCCTGCAGTGCAGAAACACAAACAAACACAAACGCACAGACACACACACACACACACACCACAACAACAACAACACAAACAAGAAGAAACAAAACACAGAAACCAACACACCCACAAACACAAAAAATTCAAACAAACACACACACACATAACACGAACACACAAACAAACAAACAAACAAAGAAACAAACAAACAAACAAACAAAGAAACAAAACAAACAAACAAAACAAAACAAACAAAGCAAGACAAACAAAACAAACAAACAAACAAACAAACAAAACGAGACAAAATAAAAAAAACAAACAAACAAACAAACAAACAAAACAAACAAAAAACAAACAAACAAACAAACAAACAAACCCACCAATAAAACCAATAAAACCAGACACTCAAACAAACACACACACAGACACACACACACACCCCAACAAAAACAGAAACACACACACCAATAAAACCAGACACTCAAACAAACACACACACCCCAACAAAAACAGAAACACACACACCAACCAGCAAACAAACAAGGAAACATACAGACAGACAGAGACAGGCAGACAGACAGACAGACAGACGTAGACGTAAACGTACATCCATCCATCCATGGAAGCATACACGTATATTTATACAATAGCAACACAAATGCATACACTGCATTCATACTTACTTTCAGCCATGACATGACGATTGCATTTCATGACATGTCGCTAGAACACAGCGCAATACATTTCATCCTTTCTTGCAACTAGGTAAGTCAGAAAATAATGTTTACACATAAAAAATCTCTCTCTCTCTATATCTTTGTGTTTGCTTGTTTGCCCTTTCCATGCGTTCCATGCAAACATATCTAAACACCCGAACGTGATGTGAGTTAGGCGTAGATATGTTATATTGCATGATACATCATACGCATACCAGAAACATGCTTGAATGTGGCACATGTACATGAAAAGGCAAAGTCTTCAGGAGTTGTCGCTGATCATCTGATAACTTGAGCACATGCAGCTTGCCAGATCCATCACTGGTTTAATTACTCTCACGGTGTATATGCAAGTCTCTCAAGGTATCTCTCTGAAGGCGTTTGCAGAAATAAGATGGTGTTGGCCTGACAGCGACAAAAAACAAAGTCCAAAAAGGCTGCGATTTTTTCACGCGGTTCCTTAGGAATCCTCCATGAAGGTTAAATGCAAACCAAGACGGTACCTGGCAATGAGTTTCAGCACACTTTGAGAGGGCTGTTGCCCATTAACGCAGGCTTTGCACAAGTGGGATATTCGGCGCTGCATGTCCTCACCACAAAAGCACCATGTCAGTCTCGGACTGAGGAACCTAGCCAGCATACTAATGTGCTGCATGAAATGCGCTTTTTGCGTTACATTAAACAACTTCTCTTCTAAGAAGTGCTCAGCGACACTTGTAAGAATCAGCAGCATGGCAGTACAAGCGTGTTCAAACGTGTCCGCGACCGCGGGTGGAAACGCCATGTCCTCCCTGTAATCACTTAACATCGTTTCGATCTCCAAGTTCAATTTCAGGTACGCATGAATCTTCTTATGGCTTTCCAAATTATGGTTCTGGTACTTTTCCCAAACGAAAAGCATTGGTCCAGCCAACCATTTGATCTCTGCAGCTTTGCCACGCAACTTCGGATATTGTGGTGCTTGTCGCTGAAACATCGAAAGTTTCATAGTGCGATAGCGGCAAGGGGTCTTGTGCCTGGCATAGTACTCCCGAATATCACACCAAATTTGCTGTGTATTCGAAGCCGGTGAGTTGGGAAGTACAAAGTGCACCAGCAGACTCAGAATGGAGCCATAACACAGTTGGTCATGGCCTAAGTACTTACAATGCATCCAGTCCATGCTAATCATCCATGGGGTGAACCCGTCCATGCTGAATAAGGTTGAGGTGCTTCTGTTTTCCCAATTGCGCCAGCCCCTGGCTGTCCACTGAACTGTACGCCAAGCAGCCTCAGGCTGAAAATTCATCCAACTGTAAGGCCCTTTGTTTTTGCACCTGCACAGGCTGCACGGTCCTGAGGCCAAGGTAGAACGCGGCAGCAGCAAAGCTTTGCACAGGTAGTCCAAGTCGCCCAACACGCTCCACAAAACCGCGTAGTATCCGTTTGCTAGTGGTGTCAAAGCTTTTTTGCCAGCATCGCTAGAGGGAAGATACCTCAGTTTGTGGAGACATGGGGAAAACCGAGATTCTAGCATAGATAGTGGTGTGGCTACCTCTCAAGACTTGTTGACAATAAGGGAATTTGAATCCCAAATAAACATGAACAGGGAGTATACAAAATTATTTGCGTGCATCAACTCCAAACAAAGTTACAATGATGAGTTGAGAGTCTGGGCCTTTATCTCTGCAATTGAATGTCTTGGGCCAAACAGTTAGCCACATAGGAAACATATTGTTTACCCTGGCCTGCTGGAGTCTGGCGTTGTTTCTTATTAACGAAAACAAGTGGACATATCGTTATGTCAGCAGAAGCAAACTGGATTCCTAGAATCATGTCTTTGACCTGTAATCTCATGCGCTAAATTTGTGGTGTCCGGAAATGTCGTTTTTGGGCTCCGTTTCGGGACCATTATGGACACCACACTAAAAGAGTGATATGAGATGTTACTAGTTGTGAATTCCAGTCTACCTCTGAAATGCATGGAAGCATATGCTGGTGACACTTCACTGCACGACATAAGGAGTGAAAACCCTTTTCAAAGATAATTTTGTTTTTTCCCCTTTGAAATTAATCTTTGGGGGGGCCATTCACCCTGAGCGATACACCTGTGAGTGTTTTACCGTTGAGTGACCCCATGTACCCTGAGCGATACACCTGTGAGAGTTTTACTGTTGAGTGACCCCATGTACCCTAAGCGATACCCTTCTGGGAGCTAGGCTTGAGGAACTTCATGAATTTTCCCAATAACTTTGTCAAGTTGCAGTGCACCTTCCCAATCGCGGTCAGGCCATTGGCCCCGTTGAAGCCACTTAAAGCTCCACACCAAGACTTTGAAGAAACAACCCAAAGTATCTAAAGACTGGTCCTCCTCGATCTTGCGTAGCTTTTCCCAGCACCCCCATATGAAGTATTGGGCTTCTTTTGTGTTGCCAAAGCCGCACTGGGAACTCCATGAGAAAACTGTCAAAAGAGAGCACCAACTCTTGCCAACACCTACCACGGGGACATCGTCGCCGTGGAGCGACAGGGGGACACACCGTCGACGATAGTCTGGTCTCTCAGCTAATCCCCTGGCCTGAAAAGCTGGGTGGCTGGAATTTGTTTGCCAAAATGCCGCTAACCTGTCTTGGGATGGACACAGACACTTTGTCCACACCCCCGGGTAGCTGTGGAATATCGCGCTGAACATCTCGTGTGGTAGCAGAAATCCTTGAAGTAGTGGGCCGGGTTTGAAAGGCAAACTGGTCAAGGTTGGTTTTGGGATGGCGATCTTGTAAGGGATGACTTTCATCAAGTCTGCATAGCATTTGTTTTCCCAAACGCCACCACAACCAATTGAACTGATTTTTTGAAGGTGCCCCAAATCAGTTTCTGAATTTTTCATAGCTTGTGCATCTTTGTAAGCCGCAGCCGCAATTTTTTGGGCCAACTGAGCACTAATGTCTCCCCAAGCAAATAAATTCAATAGCACCGTGGCCAAAGCTGAATGCTGCGGCAGCGCATCCTCCCTAGCTTGAGCTCGCAGACGTTGTCTGAGTCCACCCTTTCGTCTTGAAGGGCCATCCGCTGACGATTTGCGTTTCATCGATTACTATATATATCTCATATATATATATTTGAATGGGGGGCCTTCCTGGAAATACAAGTTTAAAATATATTGTCATGGAGTCATGGTGGTGTTCTTTCTCAAGCTCACTTGAAGACATGAAAGCTACCCATGTATGAAACGTTGGACCCAGACACCTGCTCCTTGTTTTTTCAATTTTTGGGATGTCTTGATTTGGCCAAGTGCTGATGAAAGCTCTGAAAAACTGCAGTGCTTGGCACATCTCGATGTAAAACCAGAGCAGTGAACCTGAACCGATTTGAAAATAAAACGCTCATCTCACGGTATTCTCAACAAAATTGATTCTCATGTGACACTCTCATGGTACTCTCATTTGGTACTCTCATGACTCATGGTAGCTTGGGACAACACGAAAAACAGGATACTAACGTGTTCCGTGTTTGTATTGATAATCAAATAGTAGGTAATCTTTTTGCATCATGCTTGTATGATGTTTGATAGGCTTTCCTGGATCAGTCTCGGCCTGGAAGGATGTAAGGAAAATTGATACCTACTATTGATTGGGGGACGCTGACACAAACACCTTTTTTTCCCCTCACGCAACCGTCCGTGTCCTAATCCAAAACTTTTGCACACTCAACTGTGCAAGCATGAGACATCCCCTTGAATCTAGAATCTGGATGGCAAAAAACAACTCTGAGAAAATAATCTCATATTCTTTGTTTGAAAGTCAACCAGAAACGAACAGCGTTATTTGTACATATATTTGTATATATATATATGCTCAGACCTTCAGGGTTGCCCTCATGTCTTTCAATCTCGTGGGCCTTCAATTTTTTGTTCACAAGACCACGGCTGGTTTCGATCAACTTATTGTAGGACTGAGTATGGTTTGCCATCTCAGTCATCAAAGTATCCAAATTTTTTTTGGATTCCAGCCCATCAGGGAGTTCTTTGAAGTCCCTCATATGGCCCAATTTGGCCAAGTTAGTCTGGCAAACGGTGTGGCCACGTTTGAGTTTCACCAAGTTCTCCTCGTCATCCTTGCCTCCGGCCCAATTTTTGATGAGAGACATTGCCTCTTTCATCAACTTGGATTGGCTATCTGCAGCCTGACTCACGAGGTCCATGATGGATTTGGGGATGGTGTTGCCCTGCTCAAAGATCTTCACGTCCTTGGGTTTCTGGGTGTAGTGCCAATCCCATCCAATTCCCTCGAACGCTGCCTTGAGAAGTTTCTCCTGTTCTTTGTTTACCACTGATTTCCCTGTAAGTACTTGCTCCTGGGAAGAGCCAGTCTTGACTCCTTTCCTGAACTCTGTGAACTTCCACATTGCTTTGCCATTGTACTCGACTTCCTCGATGTCGCCCTTTTGTTTTGCTGCCTCCATTGCGGTGTCGGAGTTGCCAAAGTACAATCCTTTCATGATTGATTCTGGAAGTGCAACATCCTCTTCTTTGGCAAATTTCTGGCTGAAGATTTTGCGATGCTCCTGGAACAAGTTGTCTGAGAGGTTCAGCTGCAGCTTCCCAGAGGCATCACGGACGAAGAGCTTGTTGATACATTTGGTCTTCCACTCCCTGGGGGAAGATGTTTTCTTCCCCTGCTGTTCTATCAAATCTTGCACATAGTTGGGAAGTGTATCTCTCATTTTGGCGTACTTCTGACCTTTCGATTTATCCCTGGTTTCATCGCCTTCATCATCAGAGCCTTCTTGGTTCTTCTCATCCTTGTCTTCCATGCCCTCGGTCCCCTGCTTCATTTTCTTCACTGTGTCATTGATGCTGCTGGCCGGTCTCTTCAAGGATGGTGTAAGCGGTTTGGAGCTGGCAGGGCGCTTCAAGGTACTCTGGGTAGAAGGCATGTTTCAGGCTGTGGGTTGCGGGACAAACAGTTGTCTAAAAAGGCTGGATCTGAGATCTGGTAAGTGCCACAGGTTGTGACAGGTATGTGCAAACACACAGGTACCAAGAGTCAAAAACATGTCAAATCGATCTCTTCATCTCAAGGTCGCAAGATCTTCCATGGAAGTTTCGTGGAAATTTCCTTGAAACTGCCTAAACCGATTTGAGGAAGTTTGATTGCTCTTTGTATGTAGTTTGATGGCAGTTTGAATGTCATGTTGAGGCAGTTTGAACTATCATGTCACTGAAATGCAGGTATAAATGATTTTTTTATGACAAAACTTCCTCACATGATATTTAAACTGCCTCAGATTTGATTCCAAACTGCCAAACAGCACTGTGGAAGTTTTATGGAAATTTCCTCAAAACTTCCACTCTCTCAGGTAACCTTTTTCCAAAACTGCGGCTCTACCATCTCCAAAAGCCAGTTAAATTTAAAATCGCTAACAGCTAACGATCCTCGGCTCATTTCTTGGATTTCTTGGCGCCCTTGCCCTTCTTGTTCTTCTTGGTGGAGGCCTTGGGCAAGGCATCAGGTGACTGGGCAGGCACATTGCCAGAGGACGTGGCAGGCTCTGTGGGCTCTGTGAAGTCGTTCAACCCAAAGAAGCATAACTCCACTGGGTTTTCTTCTTGGTCTCCTTGGGAATCACTGGGCATATCATTCTCCTTCTTTGGGTTGTTCTGCTTCTCCTCCTGGGTCTGGTTCTCCTCGCCTTTTTTCTGGAGCATTCCAAAAAGGGTGGACATCAGCTGTTGAGTGTATGGATCTGGCCCACCACTCCCTGAGCTGCGCACAGTGCCATCACGACGAAATTCCATTTGGTATCCACCCTGCATGTTTGTTTGCAGTAGGATTGGAAGAAGGATCCTGGAAAAACGTTTGAGCCTCGACTCTTTTTGCGTGCATTGTGTGCAGCAACTTTGATGAAGCCATGTCTTGTGTCTGAACACCTGTGCACTTGAAAACACAGTTTGTTATTGAGAAAATGTTTGATTGAGAATTACCTGAGAGACTTACCTTTGAGATACCTCTGAGAGTTACCTGAGAGACTTACCTTTGAGTGATGCGTTTCAGTTTTCACGTTTCAAGAAATGTTTTTGCAACTCCGCGCTCCATGAAATCATGCAGTGATTTGAACACATCTTTGGAAAAATATGAAAAACGACATGGTGAAAGTGTTGGAGATACCTGCAGTACTTGGAACTTTGTTTTGACATCAATCTCACAGACTTCAAATGGAATACCACAGTCCATAATGTTGAGGGCCCCAAACCCTTCCTGGAACCCCCTATTAACAAGAGTTTGGGGCCCCCAAAGACGAAGCAGCTGAACATTTTTTTCAAGCTGTGCGGTCGCCATGTCAGGTATCTACCAAGTCCACTCCCTCTTCGCCTTCTCCCTTCTCTCCCATGGTAGTAAGTCAGCTTGCTGCTTGCGCTTGTTGTCCTTCTCCTCCTGCTTCACTTCCAAAAAGTGGTTGATCACAGCGTTCACTCCAGATGGCTCATTGGCTACTTCTGGGGCAGCACCAACTTCTTCAGGTCTGATCTTCTCCTCGGTTTGGGATCCAGAAGGGATTGTCTCAATGCTGTCAGTCTCGTATTTTGGCCCCTGTTTCATCAAAGTAGACAACCTTGGAACAGCCCGCTCTGCAAAAAGATGCCGAGAGGAAAGCTTGGGCATGTAGCTGCCGTCCAAACTAAAAACTGCAGTGGTCACATGGTCATAGGTTTTGAGGGTCACAAATGCTGAGCACCACTTAGCAGCTTGGAGCATGGCACCTCGCTTGCGACAGACCTGGATATCTTCGATCTTGATGTAGGTAAACCCAAGGCTGTGCATAGTGTCCTTGATAACTTTTGGGCTGACCAATGCTGACTCCAGGTCCTTGATGTAAAGTCGATTTGCCATGGCCCTCGATGTAAACGAGGCAGTGAATCTTGAAAAAGAAACTTTGTTGACAAGAAAAACATATGTTGTAAAAAAATATGAGTTAGTGAGTTTGTGGTTTGTGCCTGGATTTGATTGTTGACAAGAAAAGCATATGTTGTAAAAAATATGAGTTAGTGAGTTTGTGGTTTGTGCCTGAATTTGATTGTTGACAAGAAAAACATATGTTGTAAAAAATATGAGTTAGTGAGTTTGTGGTTTGTGCCTGAATATGGTTGTTGAAACAATATGCAGTTCACAAGAGCTGACATGTTTGATTCGCCAAATCATGCACTGATATGACATCCAAATTGCACAGCTACATCTCCTCTCAGAAGGTAATCTCTCAACAGGTAGGCTCTCACGGTACCACATGAAAACATCAGTGCCAGTCCAGTCAAGTCCAAGTCCAATGTTTTGTCCAGCCCTGCACAGTTAAGAAAATATGACTGCCCCAAATTGTCATGTTGACATTGCATGTAAACCTCCAAACCTGTTGAAAGAATCATTTCACGTCTGCACAGTGCACAGTAAGCAGCAGTAAGGACTTTTTTCCCATGCTATACCCCACATGAGCTGCAGCCAGTTTTCAACAACTGGTTCTTTAAGGATTGATAGCTGGAGTTCAGCTATGTTTTGAAAGTCAAAACGTATGAGCTCAATCGACGTCCTTGTCATCAGAAACGTCGCAGGCTACCAGAGTGCCATTCTCATCCTCATCCTCTGCCTCATTGCATGATTTCTTGGCCTTTTTGGCCTTCTTGCCCTGAGTGGATTTCTTAGGGCACTTCTTGCCTTGCTTCTTCTTCTTCATGGGCATGGCTGGGACAGGTGATGCTTCGGATGGCTCCTGTTTCTGCTTGGTATTCTTTCCCTTGTTCGTCTTTGCCTTTTTGCCTTTTTTGGCCGGCCTTGGCCACAGCTTTTCAAACTCCTTGCTGGATGCTTGACTGCTCTGTCTTCCTGCTTCGCAGCACTCCTCATGGTCATATCCTGCACGGGCTGCTTCATCATAACCACAATGCCAGTGGCGGCTTGTCCACCGCTTGCGGTTTGCGGCCCTGTTCACACTTGAATCAAAACCTGCCGGCGTGTCTGGGTAATACATGTCTGCTTGCTCTTCATCTCCCGTCGTCTCGGGTTTCTCCTTACATTTTTTCGATTTCATTGCCAGGGGAGCTGCAGGTTTTTCAACCTTGTCTTTCTTCTTGGTGGCGCCTGTGTTGCCAGCTTGCTTCACATTCTTCGGTTTCTTGATCACCTGCTTCTTCTTGTCAGGGGATGCTTTGCCTTTCTTGCCTTGCTTTGGTTCTTTTGCCTTCTTCTTGCCAGCACCCTTCTCACACTTGTCAAGCGTTTCAGAAGGTTCAGCTGTGGCGGGATCATCATGTTCATGCTCATCTTCACATTCTTCCGTCTCTTCATCCTTCTTTTTCTTGATTGCCTTGTTGGCCCTTTGGAGCTGAGAGCTGTAGCCTTTGTTCAGAGGCTCTTGGTTGTGGCAATCCTTGACTATTTTGGCATCGACCGCGCCAATGTCCACAAGCCCAGCCAAGAAACCCCCAAATTGCAGGGAGTTACCAGGCACACCATGTCCTTGCAGGTGTTTTTCAACCCTTTTCCCATCAGGTGATTCTTCCAAAATACTTCGGCGTGAGTTCACCGCTTCAAAAATTTTCAGCGGATTGACTGGGTCTTCTGATGTGGGAGGTGCTGCAGTGACACTGGGACGGGAGGCATCGGCTTTGGGAACCAAGGCTAGGGTTTGCTCTCCTGAAGTCTGACTTGTTTGGCTGTCATCAGTTTGTTCTCCTTCACATTCTGTAAGCCTCCCCAAAAGCTCCTCCAGCTTGGAAATCTCATCAGGGTCACACTTCCTGAAGCAGCGGCTCTTGCTGGTTGCACACTGCCTCAAAGAGCGAAGGTGAGCCAAGGCGATGCGAATCCATTCGTCACACATCTCTGCATAGTCCTGGTTCGTTTTTTTCCCCCCATTTGCCGATGGTCGCTTCTCAAAAAGCTTTTCAAGGGCAATACGGTGCTTCTTGGACGGAAGAACACCGTTAGGAGCTATAGCCACGTACTTTCTCAGCAGTCCTGACACCTGGCAAAGCCATGCTGGATTGGGGGCTGTCTTCCATCCCACAGTAGAAGGCGGCTGCAGCAATTTCTGCAAACAGTTCTCACCATTTTCATCGAGGTAGCACTCTACACACTGGAGTAAATCCCCTACTCCAATGCAGGGATCAGCTACCAAACGGCTTTTCGAAGCTGCAGGCGCCATGGTCGCCCTTGGGAGGCTCTGCAAAAAAAATGTAACAACGCGTGCCATGTTGTTTTGTTTTTATGATGTTTTGTTTTGTGTTATGACATGTTTCTACCAAACAAGAACCATGGAAGACACTATAAGACTTGAAGCATGTGGATCGACAGGCAGCAGCGAGGTTTCACAGCTTTAGATAATCTCTCAAGGTAAATCTCTCGAGGTACGCGAATCAAAGGTAAATCCCTCAAGGTACAACTCTCAAACGTAAATCTCTCAAGGTAGTATTGACGCAAAACCTGCAGAAACTAAACACAAACAACTTCAGTATAAACACATCACCCCACATTCAAGCCCCAAAAATTCAATTTGCACAGTATTGTTTTTTCTTTTCCTGTTGGTGCCCCCTTTGATTTCAAAAATGTATATATGCACACATAACATGCAACTTTGATTGCAAGACCACTTTGACACAATGGAGTATCTTGCTCTGCAATTTCGCTGCCCCAGTTTTCCATGCGCAAATGGCAGGCTTGCCGGGTAAAGATTCAAAAACGTAAATTTTCACGAGTCCCTGTTGGGCCTGTGAAGCAAACAGAAATGAGCCGTGACGGTGACAAACCTCAAGTCTCGAAGCCACTCACCCACTGGTACGTTTCCTTCGAGTTCAGCTTTCTGTTGTAAAGCTTCAATCACATCAAGGGCGCTACAAATTTCTTCTTCCAAAATGCTGGCATGGGCTAGCCACCCAATCATATGTAGGTCACCCAGTGTTTGGGATGGTGCTGCTCCTGCAACAGGTACTTGTTTGGCATCAGGTGGGCAATGTCTCCCATGCACTTTGCACGAGGTCAGAACAGACCAAGCTTCTCCAACAATGTAAGTCAAACGGTGGAGTCCAGTTTTGGTCAGCACTGACCTGAAGGCCTCCCTCATAGATTCTAATTGCTCCCCTTTGTTGAATTGGTCCT